GGCTTTGGGGCTGGAGTTTTAACCACGCTCGTCCTGCTCGCGCCCGGCTGTAAATAACCGTAGCCAAAATCTTGCTTTAAAATGGCTCCTTAACCCCGCTGTTCATCGTGCAGTCAAGTTTTCAACGCACATTTGCAAACGCTGCAGGACAAGCGCTGAGTTTTTGCCCTGATGGTGGGGGTAGCAGATACTAAAACTTTCCCTTTCAGGTGACTGGAATGTTAAACATGGGCTTAATTTATTCTGACATGGAAGGTAGGGCTGCTATTGTTTGTGGTAACTTCATGCAGAATGACAAAAACGTTAACTGTTAAAGATTAAGCTGCTGGATGTTGTGTATGGAACATACAGAAATCCATAAAGCATACATGACCAAAACTGGTTCTTGCTTTAATAATCTAGTTGAACTTTAACGGATGGTGTATCTCAAAGCCTATTGCCAGGGCCTCAAAATGATGGAGTCAAGATACATAAAAGGATGGCGGGTGAGGGAGGAGTGATCTTCCCTCATGTACCAAAAAGACATTACCTGGTACCTACGTTCAGCAGACCCTGATTTCTTTCTTCTTTTTTTTTTTTTTTGTCTCTGAAAGCATAGCCTGAGAGGCAGCAGTACCTGTCTCAGGTGGTCTACTGTATCCCATTTTGGGAGAGGAAGTTAATGCTTTTGAAGGGTCTGCACCTTCAAATTCAGTTATCTGGTGCATTCTGGCTTTGTAACATCCAGTGTGGGATTTGATTTGCAGATCCCTATGCCAAGTCTTTCTGCATGTAACAGTAAGATTCTCATAAGGCATGGAGTTGCCTGGTTTTGTGTGCCTAGCCTTTATTTGGTCTTCTCCTGTGAAAAGCATACTAGTGGGTATTTTCTTTGTCGATTTTGTTATATTAATAGTTGGATACAGTTAGTGCTGCAGCTTGAATGTTGTCTTCTGGGAGAGTGATGGCAAAGAACTAGGATCATTTGTGTACATAAGATAGGAATGATTTGCTTTCAGTTCACCTCTGGATGCTTTTGGTTTTGTTTCTTAAGATAATGTACTTTTAAAAGTTAACAATTTTTCAGGAGGGAGCAGTGACTTTTTAACTCTTCAATCCACGTATCTGTGTGTTTGAGCATCAAGTGCTTTTACACCTTGTAATGCTTTTACGCTTTGTGCTCTGGATTTCAGTTGTACCTCTTGCAGTTCCAAACTACTTAAAGAACGGTTGCTCTGCGTATGAAGTTAAAACACCTTTGTCCTTGATCATTGTCTGAATAATGCCTCACTATTTTTCCTCTTCAGAAATATCAGCATGGATAAAAATGAGCTGGTGCAGAAGGCCAAGCTGGCTGAGCAGGCTGAAAGATATGATGACATGGCAAGTTGCATGAAATCTGTGACTGAGCAAGGAGCTGAGTTGTCCAACGAAGAGAGGAATCTTCTCTCTGTTGCCTATAAAAATGTTGTAGGAGCTCGTAGGTCATCTTGGAGAGTCGTCTCAAGTATTGAACAAAAGACGGAAGGCGCTGAGAAAAAACAGCAGATGGCTCGAGAATACAGAGAGAAAATTGAGACTGAGCTAAGAGACATCTGCAATGATGTGCTGGTGAGAAATAATGAAACTGTTGATCCATCTTTGCTTAGGGTTGCAGGGTAAATGGTGCTGGGCCCTCTGGGACTGCTTCTAGTCTGTAAAGCTGTGGTCTCCTGTGTTATTTCTAAAGGACAGCGTTTAAAAAATGTTTAAAGAAATTACTTTTCTCTCCCTCTAATGTATTGATTATTTATATACGAATCATAGTAGTTATAAATGCTAATGCATTTGGAGACGTGTTGAAACACCATGTAAAGTAATAGTTTTGAAAAATCAACCTATTTTTCTGAGGCTGAACTACATACAGATTTAGTTTGGGGTTTTCTCCTCTGTCATTCCCCCTCAATGCAGTATTTGTATTCAAATCACTTTGATTTCTGCAACTTTAATATGCTGCTGTAATTGTAAGAGGTAGTTCTTACTCTACGGAAATTGTGCCCCTCCCTGGGTAAGATGATGTAATGTTAGTTATGACTCAGCCATGCAGAAAATTGACTGCAGGAAGAGGCAGTAGAAATGCTGTAATACCCTCTTAAACTCAAAATTTTTAACGGCAAACTAAAAGGGTGTTTGTGTTAGGCATTTTCTGTGGCTTGTAGTTCTGTTAAAATGTGCATGTACCTGGCAGACAACCCTGTATTTTCGTTAAGAGTCTGGTTTATGAAATCCAAAGCCCTTCCAAAAGCATATTGCAGATTGCCAGGGGTTTTTTTCAACTGCATGTGCCTGTGCTGCTTCAGTGAGCACATGATTAACAGATGTCCAGGCCTGCAACCACCTGTGAGGTAGATACTACTGTCAGCAGTACAATTGTCCACTGGACTGTGGGCACTGCTGGTGTGTTATCCCATATGTGACAAGGGATCACATACCTGGAGGTGACAGAATGAAATGTGATAGGGAAGTGTTAAATAGCTAAGCATGCGCTTGAAGATCTCATGTCAAATGAAAATTAAGATCAATGAGTAGCATGACTTTTGCTTGCTGTGTAAGATAACTAAGCGAAAAAGGTGGTCATCACTTGTAGAAGACTGGTTCGCCAAGGGTGTGTAAAAGTCAGTGTGGATAACTCAGAGTTTTGGCTTCCAGTTCATGCTGGCTTCTATGGTTATTGTAACACACCCAGTTCCATGTTGTGTTATCTTGTGTAAAGATAACTCTTAAACTTCCACTGTGAAAATGGAAATGTCAAACTTACACATGGGAAAGATGGATTTACTAGTTCTTGGGTTAAGTGGTGGCTCATTTATTAAAGCCAGGGAAATAGGGATCCAAATCTGGCATTCTAATTTATTGCCATTTCTTCTTTTTTTTTATTTAATGGTCAATTGCTCAGGGGTGGATGCTTTCAGGTCAAAGTAATCTGAAATTCTTTGTAAACTATGTCTGGGTTTAAGAAGTCATTCTAATTAGGTCATTGGGCTTAGAAGCCCCCTTTTAGAAGAATTTAATGTTTGCAATTGAATTTTTTTTTCTGATAATGGAAACCAGATTGAAGTGAAATTTTACTGTGTGTGCAAAATACAAAAACTAAAACAAAGCCCGAGCATTTGAGTTTGCTACAGCAGCTGAATTATCTGGGAGGGAAGGAACACGGGTGGGGAGTCTTGTTAAATCTTCTGAATCTCAAGATGGACTTAAATTTCTCTTTGTGTTAATAAGAGTTACGTATATTATTCAGATAAATTCTTACTCTTTGCTTTGTTACTACTGTTAGGAAGCTAATGTCTTGCTCATCTTCAGTGTTGCCAGTCCAGTTGTTCTTAATAGATTAAGGAAAAATTACTGTCCAGAAGAAACAATGCCTTAGGCAGCGATTAGCAGTAATAAAACTACTTTTTTAGACTTGGGTTAAAAAAAAAACCAAACAACAAAACTTGTTTTATTGTTCAAGAGTTAGGATTTAAAAATGCTTTCAAACGGCAAGCACTACCTTTGACACTGAAGAATTAGATTTCTGTCTAAAAACATACTGTTGCTTTCTTTGTTGGAATGGCCTGTTGACTTACATTCCCACTCACCTAGAAACGTGACTGACACATTGCTTTATTTGACATCCACTTTGCTTTAACAGAGAGAAAAGAATTGTGGTGACAAATTTAGTTTTCTATGAACAGGAATCTTCACAATGCTACATGCAAACGTAGAACTAGAGGGTGATTTGTTTTTTGTGTTTTGGAGTGGTTTTTTTTTTCAGAAGCTTCTCTAATTTTTGCACAGTATAATCTAGACTATAACTGTTCACAGAAGTGAAAAGCAAGGCTTACCAAGTCTTGATTGCAGCAAAGTATGCCATTAGTAAGACCCGAAGTGTTAAACCTTCAAAGCTTTTGGTCGAGAGCCTTAGCAGTTACAGTGCAAAAGCAGCTCAAACTTACGTCATTTATTAAGACTGTGAATCTGTTTGAGCTGTTATGTCTTCAGTTGCCTGCTAGGCTCTTAAGTAATATTTAATACTCTGGGGTGTTATGTCACAGCTGAGCATGGAAGTCACTGGTGTCCTAACTAGAGTGTTGAAGGGAGGAATCCAACGAAGAGCATGTGTTTGTGACAAGCAGAATGTCGCCAAAGCTGGCTTCTTTGCAGCTTCTCGCTCTTCACTCATTTCTTGGAGACAAATTACTAGTGGATTGGAAGAAACAGCTCCTAATCCAGTAGATGCAGAGTATATTGAACTGTGTGTGGGTTCTGTTCCCAGCTCTTCCACTGACTTAGAGTGAGTAAGAGCAGTTAGTGCTGGACTTTTTTCTTGCTTCATAATTATTAGACTCAATGATAAAAATTACAGCAGTTATATGGGTCAGGTCCAACCATTTATTTTTCTCCTTTACACTGACGTTGCAGCAGGAAAAAAGCCAGCCATCCTTGCCACTTCCTCAGTCTTCCCTCACTTGAGCCTGCCGTGGAACATCTCTACAGCTCTACAAAGAGCTGAACCCATCTTCTTGTTTGCTGCAGCCTCAGAGTGCTGCTGTACAAAGAAGGGGCAGCTAAAATCTTCTGGTTCTGGCAGATACACACTGGGGTATATTCAGGTGTAACATAACCATCTCTAATTTGGAGTTGGTCTGGTAGCACTGATAAACTGCAGATAATTGTGACACATTCTGCATAGTACAAGTTCCTTGCACTGCACAAATAAAAACTGAATTTCCAAATTCTTCAAGAATAATTGGGGGGGGGGGGGAGTACAATGCCATACTCGAGCATCTGAAATGTACTTGAGTATTATAGAAAATTTCCAGCCTCAGAAGTTTTATATTCATACAGGAAATTAAGCTTTTTGTTAAGTACTTTTCCTCATGTTAGCTAAGTGTGTGCTTCACATCCTGTTTCACTTTCTATAGTAGAAGGGAGGGTCTGCCAAAAATGCCAGTATAATGATCTTTTATTTGTTGTTTCCATAATAAATATTGTTATTAACCTAACAGGTGTGGATTTTCTTCAAAAATGCTTTTTGCAGTTAATTTGCAACAGAGCTGTAACTGAAGTGGTTCAAATTAAATGTGTAGTAAGATTAACTTCTCGGCTAATGAGAATTCTGAAGTACAGAGAAGAAGGTGTGGAGAGATCTCCGAATGGCTTAACATCTGATTCTGCTTGCACATTAGAAGTTCTCAGGAGATCTGAACTGCTGGTAGCTTTCAGGCAGTCTCTGACATGAGCTAAATGTAAACTAATAATTTAAAGTACAACTGGCTATCTTCACTTCAGTATGAATGTAATTCTAGACAATTACACTCTCTTCCCTAGGTTGTTACATATGGCAGTAGTCCCCTGCAGATCTGTATGTGACACTTCCCATGTTCTTTCCCCATGCTCAGCCTTCTGGGGGATGTCTCTTTCTCCTCCAAGTTCCCTGTGCCCAGAGTCATATCTTAAGTAAATATCTTTGCTTACAGTGCCCAAGTGCTCTGTTTCAATGTTTCTCTTCCATTTTGGTTGTTCCCTTAAAGGTCTAGAGAGTTTCCTGAAACTTTATCTGCCTTTCAGCCTTCTACTATACAGCACTTTTTCCCCACTTCCTGCCAGAAAAGCTGCAGGTTAATGGTGCTGTTCAGGACCCACTCAATAAGATGAATTGTTGCTTTCTTTGCCACATTACTTCTTCCTAACTTCATGCTCAAGAAGCATAAAATAGTACTCCTTGTGTGCTTATCCCATTTAGATTTCTTCTTACAAGTGGTAATTGTTGGGAGGAGAGAAGATGCAGTAAAATCACAATTAAGTGACACTTGGTTTGTGATTCTTTAATATGTATATTGTTTGGGGGGAGTAGCAGAAGATTAGTGACCTGTCATGGGGCTGCAGTTCACTGGGGGGAAGGGAGGGTAATTCCATTCAGAATGCATCTAAATGGCTTTTTAAAGAACATACCACAGAATTAATGCCTATTACCATCAGACTGAAATCACTGTGGTACTATTTCCTAGTGCCTGCAAGCATTTAATAGGTTACTATGTTGACATCTATAAAACCTGTTTCTGCAGTAGTTCTCAATGACAGGGTTAGGAAGTTTAGTCCTCTCCTATATGAAGCCATATGCTTTTTGACATGCACATGCGTGAGGTATTTTTAAGGTCAATTGTATGCTCAGTGTGTCCTTCTGATGGTCAAAGGAGCACAGCTGATCTGTAGAGTGGTGCTAACAAGCAGATGAATATAGATGGCTTAGGAGCTTGGGTGACTGTACCATACAACCCTGTATGCTATGAAGATACCTGATACTAAGCAAAAAAAGTCAATGTTCTCACTGCAAATTGCTACCTTTAGTTCTGTGACTGCTTCAGGCTTGCTTAGTTTTGGCTGCATTTTGTTTCTGTCTTTGAGATCTGTGTCCTTTATTTGACGTTTTGGAAAAGAAGGGGAAGTGTTTGTAGAAGCTTCCCTTTACAGAATGTTGATCACAGAAGGGGGGTGGTTAATTTGTTGAAATATAGGAGCTAGGTGACCAGAATCCTTGGTTCAGAAAACTTAGTTCTTATTATTTTAAGCTGTTTTAGTCGAGTAAT